TGATATGCCAATTATGCCTAATTGTACAAGAGGCATCAGTCAAGGTAATAGTGCATAAACACATGAAAGTTATTAAGTACATCCCAACATGTAATAAAGTAGGTGTTAATTGGTAGCTGAGTTCTGCAGGCTATTGAGGTGGATAATTCATTGAGAGATGGATCACTTGTAATTTCTCTACATAATTCCTTTTGCAGTCTCATGCTGTGATGTTTTCATGCTTGTCAAAAACAACTGCAGCCTAGTGCCTTTTGTTAAACACAGCCAATAAAATATGTTAGGCATCATTAAATATACTTAACTTTTAAACTTTTTCAAAGTTACAGTTCCTACTGATAATACATTATACTATTTCCAAATAAATTACAGTAAACATTCTTTTAACTTCCTAACAGAACATCTCACTTATGGGGGTTGGGGGTTGGTGTGTGTGTTTTTTAAGTACTACGTGCAAATGTGTCGCCAGCAAGTGATAGTTTTAAATTGGAAAGCAAACATAAGGAAATGAATGTTTCATCAGCTACTAGGTTGATATCGAAGGGGAGGGGATTCAGTTCTGAAATGCAATGCAAGTTTCTCTGAACTAAAGATTTACTTCTGCCAACTGAGAGAAGAATAATTAAAATCATGTATTTGCTGAGCTATGGTGATGAAACGGCTGTGGTTAATTTTGCATTTGAACATGGAGGTAAAAATAGCAGAAGGGTGGGTGCAGGGAGGGAACCAACAACTGCAGCAAGATTATTCCATTTACTGTCTCAGTTAAATAGCTGAATATTTCATAGGGGCTTGTCATATCAGCAGAATAGCCAATTAATAGCTTCCATGGCTCTGAAAAGAGAAATTTTTGGTGCTGGTGTGGGATGCTAGTAGAGTTTTTGGGCTTTCACTTATTTGCTCTGATTTGAAAAACTGAGCTGGAATCCAAAGCGAGTGACTAACATTGCATAAATAATTTTGCAATATCATATGGCCTCAGCTGCAAGTTGCAGCCATTATGGAGGAAAATGAACCAAGGGAGGCTCACACCAATCAGTTTGTTTAGTAGCACAGGATGAGTAAAAGGGAAGGGACATGACTGGCAACAGAGTTCACCTCTAAAGTATTAGCGCTTAAATATTTTCAGAAGGGATAAAATAAACAAATCCAGTACCACTTGGCTTTCTCTGCCATGTGTCAGGGTTATTTCAGACTCCAGTTTTTAAATATCACAACTAATCTCAATCATAGTATTTTTGCACAGGTCATTAACAAGTGTTACATGCTAGGAAGAGCTTTCATTTCTCATTTACCTATCTTAATACTATGTTAGGCCATGTCTTTCAGAACTATAATCCAATGTCTGCAACACAAAGGATTTTTGGTTGTTTAGTAAGAGCTTTACATGGGCACAGCTGGCAATCCAAAATTTCCCATTGAATGTGTTTCTTACTCTATGGAATAAAGAGATGCAAGACTTCTTCAAATGCTTTCCCAAACTACATAACAAAGCAGAAAATGCCACTAAATTATTGGACCACTGAAGCCACAGTGTCATTGTGGGAATATGAATGGTCATAAAGATGACTGTAGGTGAGTGGGTGGATGAGTACCTAAAATGCCTCAGGTGGAATGGAAGGAAGGTTACATTCTTTTTTTTGGGGGGGGGTGTATTTTTTGCTTTCCCTTGCTTTGATTTTTTTTCCATTCTAATGCCCTGGCATTTAATTATCCCTTAATGGTCTGTTACAGGAATATCATGAAGTGCCTTATATATCTGCTGGTTGTAGCTGAATATGTTTATGTGAGTAAGGGTAGAAATGGGTTTGGGAAGCACACTATTTTTATTCATCTCTAGTGAGATGGCAGGAGAACTGCGTAATTGCTTTTACTTTCTAAATTATATCTATGTGTTAAGGAGAGTGTAAGTTGAGGAGTTAATGTGCATAATACCTGGCCATTGTGCAATTCACCAGGCCTCATGGAAAATGTGCACATAATCCTTCCTTTCCCGGTCACTATACATAATTCCCAAGAGGCCTGGAGAAAGTGAATATAGTGACTGAATTTTGTACATTTGCGAGGCATAATTCCCAAGAGGCTAGGGGGGCTGTACGTATCTTAACTTCATTTTGCACATTCTCTGGGCAATATGCACATTTTCTGACCAATATGCATAATCTCCAAGAATGTTCAGGCGTTTTGCAATTTGCAGTCCCCAGGCTGCTTCTGGCCCACTCCAAATTATACATAACCTCCCCACTGATTAGGCAAGAAGCAGGAAGGTGGGAGGGGCTCCAGATAAAGTGGTGGGTTGTTGTTTTTTACCATTATTTACTTAATTTATATCCTACTCTTCCTCAAAAGGAGCCCTTTCCCCTTCAATCCAGCCCTTTTAACCAATCTCAGCTGTTTCCTAGTCAGTTGAGCAACACAAGGGCCATTGCAGGGAGAGGAAAACTAAACACCTTCATCCCTCTCCCCCCTGCCCCGCTTCCTGCAATTCTAATGCCCACCCCTCTCCCCATGGGGTCAGTCATCATGGGACTCACAGAGGAGGGGAGTTTATTCAGCTGAGGAATGCTTACCCAGCAGGGGAAAAGAGAGCTGTGAAGTATCACTGATCCTGCACAATGCCATTTATGGCCCCATCCTATGCAGGCAAATTACTTTCCTTCCCCCTGCCTTTTGCGCCAGCCAGCATGAAATGTTCTCAGTGACACTAACATTTGAAGGAAAACTATATTACTGTGTCAGTTACAGTTTTTTATAACAGCAGGTGAACCATAAATCTACAATGTTTTGCCCATTTTTATTTATTCTTGCAAGAGGCAGTGGGTGGGTGGGTAGTCCAGGTGAAATGCAGAGGGACAGCCAGGACAGGCATCAGCAGCCCCCCCCCACTCTGCTAGCTCCTCTGCCTGCCAGCTGGGGTCCCTGCCCACAGGATCCAGAAGCCCAGGCACCACTACTCACCACCTTCCTCCTCCATGGCCAGCTTGGGGAGCTGCTGCTTCTGCCACCAGTGGTTAGAATTAGTGGTTAGAGTTGCCTCAGAAGGAAAAGCAGCTCAGGATGGAAGAAGGTGGTCAGAAGCAGCAACCAGGACGCCTGGTAATCCACTATTAGGATGAAGAGTCAGTATGGATAAGGCAGTGCCAGCAGCAGAAAATATTCAGGCTGATCAGCTACCACTTCTGGCCCCTTTCCCAGGGGCTGCTGCTGCTGCTGCTGCTGCTGCTGCTGCTGCTACCAACTGCTGCTGCTTCTACCAGGTTGACTTTTCATCTGGCTTGGCTTCAGTGGCAGAATGAGGAGGAAAGGCACATGAGGGTGTAGCAAGGTCTAGGAGGACGCGGTATGATGAATTGGCACAGCCCCTACTGAAAACGGTAATTTAGTAAAGGGCTACCACTGGAATTATAATGGACACAGAGTGATATGGCGATGGGATGGATGTGTCAGGTGAGGAAAAGCTGGGTTAGATGTCTTCAAGCTACTTCTCCTTCCAGCCCATCTCCCAGCCTTGTTACTAGTAGCCTTGCTGTTTGGTTCCTTGAAGTTGTTAAGGTGAAACTAGAAAATTCCAGATCAGCTAATGGAAAGACAATTACTGTCCCTGATCTTGCCCAGGAAGGACACGCTGACCTGGCTTTTGTAATTGAAACCTGACTGGATGAAGGGGAAGATGCAAATGTTTCCCAGATGTATCTCTTTGGGCAGAAAGGAGAAGTAGCTGTTATTTATAAATATATGAATGTATCTATAAATATATCATCTCCCTCATCAGATACTTTGTCCACTCATCAATAATTGTAGTGTCTGTATCTGGTGTAGGGAACTTAAGACAGGAATGATGTTGAGGAATCACAAGGTTTTTGGTCTTGGGGACCTTCAACACACCTATCCGTGCAAGCTTGTCTGAAGAGGTGTGGCACATCATGGCTGCTAATGTAATTATGGGCTTGTCTCAAATTATAGCAGGTCCAACACATATGGCAGAACACACCCCAGAGCTGGTGTTTTGGAAAGGATTGGGAGAAAGTGATTGGAAAGGATTGAGAGCCAGTGTGGTGTAGCGGTTAAGAGCGGTTGTCTTGTAATCTGGGGAACCGAGTTCGCGTCTCCGCTCCTCCACATGCAGCTGCTGGGTGACCTTGGGCAGGTCACACTTCTTTGAAGTCTCTCAGCCCCACTCACCTCACAGAGTGTCTGTTGTGGGGGAGGAAGGGAAAGGAGAATGTTAGCTGCTTTGAGCCTCCTTAAAGGGAGTGAAAGGCGGGATATCAAATCCAAACTCTTCTTCTTCTTCTTCTATAGGTGAGGGAGCAAATAATGAATCAATTCTAATAGGCCTATAACTGTTTGATAAGGTGTGACCGACATGCTACTGCTAACCTCTGCAAGGATGAAGAACAAATTTCAGTGGTATGAAACAGTGACTGATTAATGGTTTTCTGGTGTCTCCGGCAAAGTTTCCTGATACTCTAGTCCTCCCTATACTGGAGAAGGTAATCTAATTAGTTTCAGAAGACTTCAAAAAATGCAAAATATATACAGTGGTACCTCGGGTTACAAACACTTCAGGTTACAAACGTTTCAGGTTACAGACTACGCTAACCTGGAAGTAGCACCTAGGGTTAAGAACTTTACTTCAGGATGAGAACAGCTATCGCACGGTGGCAGCACGGCAGCAGCGGGAGGCCCCATTAGCTAAAGCGGTACCTCAGGTTAAGAACAGTTTCAGGTTAAGAACAGACCTCCGGAACAAATTAAGTTCTTAACCAGAGGTACCACTGTATAACAAAACAAATGAGTGGAGACAGAAAATTATTGTAGAGCAGTACTTACAGGCTCAATGACTTTCACATTATCAGACAGTATCATAGATTTGCTTTGGCTGTGTCTGTCGTGGGGGCTGTTGGCATTTTTGATCCTCATCTGAACAGCACCTGTGATTTCATGGGAATGATGCAGCTTTTCTGCACTGGTATCAGCAGACATGAACCGCTGCATGATTATTATGTCAACCTGAAAAATATAATAGCCAGTAAGGTCAGACACACCGTGCACTAATTTAGGTTTTATTCCATCTTAGTCAGTAAGAAGACAATGTTAAACACACTGTGTATTAATCCAGGTTTTATTCCAGTTTAGGTAATAAGAAAAAATAATAGTGAAACCAGCTGAGTATCTCTTAAAATCTATCAGTAGAATCAATAATCTAGGGCACCTTATTACTCACCAACTCGTCCAAGAGCGAAGTTTACATAAAAGATTATCTTTATCTCAAAGGCCACTCTTCTGTTGTGTAATCTTTCAGTAACCTTTCCAGTACATCCAGCTGGCAGGCCTTACAGTTTGCCTTTGGTCTTCCCATGTTCACATCTGAGACACATATCTCAAGTTTGCTCACAGGCTAAAAGTGAAGTGCTTGGCCTTTGTTGATTATGCCAGAAAGACCAGCGGAGGATGTTGCATGCACGCCTGCTTCATATATTATGTTTCAAAATGCACCCCATAAAACCTCTTATATGCCGGCTAAAATAGGTAGATGGTTATGGAACTAATTACAGTCTAGAGCAAAGTAGAGGCAAATATGTTGCTATTGCATTGGGGTGGAGGGGTCAGCATCAGACATCAAGGTCACTGGTAGAGATGTCACCAAACTATGCAACTCTTTGGCTACATGTCAAGGTGCTGCTAATGCATATATTTTCCACTTAAACATTAGCCAAGTTTTCAGACATCGTTCAGTGCTTTTAAAACACTAAGCATGCTTATCTAGTTTCAGAAAGAAAACACATTTTCAAAGCTTCATCCATTTTACTTAAATTGTAACATGATATTTTTTCGTACTTGGGACCTTGGGCTATTATTAAATCTGCCATATCTCATAACTATAGGGTTGTCAGGCCAGATTTGTGCTTAGGTGGGAAATCTTTAAGGAAAGCCTAAGAGCTGTGGGAAGTATAGGCACTTTGATGCAAAGAATGCCATCTTCCGGATGAAATGCAGAGCAACATTTGCCAAATATTTGCTAGGAAGTATCTGTCTGCATCAGCTGTTTTTCATGTGATATGTGTATCTAAACATAAAGCAAATAGAAGGTGCCAGCCATGCTGCATCCTGATTCCTCCTCTGAGTAGGCCTTAATTTCTGCTGCTTGAATGTAAACACCCCAAAAGGTCCTAAATATCTAATGTTATGTCTTATGACAGTCTGCACAAACATCCCATAATGGCTTTTAATCTTGCTATTGAACTGCTATTCATTTTCTAGTAAGCAGCTGTTATTTGTATTTGCCATTATGGTTACTACCATTATGATGGACTTCTCTATGGCAATGACCTCTGTAGATGCAGCACATTTCTATGGCCCGGTTCATACATAACACTAATCCACCATCCACATCACGCTAAGCCACGGTGTTGCATGAGAATCAGGCCTTTGTTTTAAGCCACAATCTCTAGTTAGTGGAGAGTGAAACTGAGGTCCTTCTCCCAGCCATGCGACAGGAGGAGTGGCAGACGGGTGAGAGGAGAGAAGCACATGAGCCTGAAACCTTCCTCTGGCTCTTTCCTCCTTCCGATAAACCATGCTTTCACATTATGTGCAAATGTGGTGCATTTATTCTACAGACACACATTGATCCTCCCTGGATGAGATTGTGCTTCTGTCACAACAGTGTCCCCGTGTGCCCTACATTTTACCACAGAAGTAAATGGCAGCTATCTATTTGCTTATATGGGAGTGAACTGCAAACCTGATTCCCAAATAGAGATGGCCAAAGAGACTTTGGAATCTGAGGCAGAAAATGCAAACAGCACTCCACCTCATGGTGCTAAAGTAATACAAACTACGTAAATAACTGGCAATGTGATCATTTTCAATGGTATGCAAAAACCTCTTTCCCCAGACACCAGCATAATGGTAAGGCTGTTCCTGAAACTGGTGAATCTAGCCACTGAGAACCGGGTCTTACCATCTGCATAGCTCAAGCGTGGTTCCACTTCTTCTGAAAACATGAAGCTCAATTATGCTGAGTTTGACAGCACTGGGCTGGACTGGAGTAATAGTTTAATTCTGACTGGAAACACCTTACAAAGATCTCAGGCAAAGGCCTTTCCCATTTTCAGTACCTGAGGTCCATTGACTTGGATAAATTGGGGGCTAAACTTGGGTGATGGAAACACCCACACAAGTATATGGATTGGCAATGGGCCGTAAGACCGTGTCCACCACCTATAATCTGATCCTCAAAGTGGCCCCCCTAGTTGCTGACCAGTGTTCTACTAGCTAAAGTGATTTTATAAATCTATCAATATTCACATTCATTTTCTTCTTTGTTTTGTTGCCCACTCAAAGCATGATGGGGCATACAGCTGTCATGAGTTTTTATCTTTAAAAAACTTTCTAAAGATAAACTCAGTGCTGGAAGGAGTGTGTAGGTACAATAAATATGCAAAGAATATTGCTGAAGCATAGAAGGAAGGTCTGCTTCTGTTATCTCACTTGGTACGATCCTCTTTGCAGAGGCTGTGGTTTCTATTGTAATTCTCATGGGAAATTTGCACATATTTTCAGAGGCTCTATTTATATACACTTACTAAGCTAGCGCCTGCCAACCTAGCAGTTCGAAAGCACCCCCGGGTGCAAGTAGATAAATAGGGACCGCTTACCAGTGGGAAGGTAAATGGCGTTCCGTGTGCTGCGCTGGCTCGCCAGATGCAGCTTGTCACGCTGGCCACGTGACCCGGAAGTGTCTGCGGACAGCACTGGCTCCCGGCCTATAGAGTGAGATGAGCGCACAACCCTAGAGTCTGGCAAGACTGGCCCGAACGGGCAGGGGTACCTTTACCTTTACTAAGCTAGCAGTACACCTTAGGTTCTGAGTTTGTGAAGAAAGGATTCATAGACCATCTCCTTTTGTAACCTACACACATGTGAGGGGATCCAGCAAATTTAGACTCAGATGTGGAAACCCAAGTTATATTGATCTCTCCCTCAGCTCCTTTAAAGGGGAAGTACTGTGTGACTTTATCTTGTCTTCATACATATAAGTCCTGCATCACACTTTCTGTTTTGAGAATGGTGAAGGGGTGGAATGCATACCTGCTATTCCACTAAGAATGGCAAGGGGAGCAGGGAGTGATCAGGTAGCAAGTGAAGTGAAAGAGCTCAGGCCCAGGAGAGCTGCTGCAATATAATGTAGACAGTAATGTGCTAGATGGACTGATAGTATGGCCTAGTAAAAGGCAGTTTCTTGTGTAAGGATTTGAAGAACAGGGTAAAGGGAGACTGGTGTGACTTGTAAGACTCATCTGTACGTTTTAAGATGTAACTTTAGAATTTGACTTTCACTGTGCATATACTCTGCAGTCAAGCAAAAGCCACCTAATCTTCATTGCAGGAAGCTACTGTCACTACCAAATTACTGAGGAACTACAGGGGAAAGTCTTTTCAGTAAGATATTAGGGCTCGATATGGGGGGTGGCTCTGGAGAAAGCTGAGGAGAAGATAGAGGGGTGGCTGCCTCCCCTCTGAGGGTGTGGGGAGGTAAGGGAAATGGCAGAAAGACATCTGGAAAGGAGAACTTCCAGAGATACAAACTTTTCAGAAAAACAACAACTATCCATTGCTCAAGAATTTGTAACTCTGGGGTTCCAGTTAATGATGCAGAAGGCAGCAGTTTCCTCTCTGTCTCTCCATAAGCATTGTAGAGCAGAGCTGGTTTGTGCTCTCTCTGCCTCTGTTGGACATTTTTTGCATTAGCGTTTGGAGAAATCTCCTAACTTTCATTACTGCTGATATGGCTCCACCACTGATTTTTAGTGCACACGCGATACTGTAGCTGAGCACGTTTTTCATTCTTAATGAAATGCCCACAGGATACTATTTTTACTAGCATTCCCACTGTTTATTACTATTGCTGCTATACTTCAGCAGTGGGACTTCTTACCAAAATTTGCTAATGTGGCTTTATCATCATGCCGTAACATCTTTTAATTTCTTCATTATTTCACTGTCCCTATACTCACCATACCTTTCTCAATCAAAACCATTTGCTGACCAGATTTCTGTAAGAAGTGACACGCCAAAGCTGGCATACACTTTTTGACAAAACCAGTTAAGCCCTTGAAAATATAAAAGTTATTATTGTTTGTGCTCCCAGTGCAAATAAAGATGCCAGTATCTGGACCCTTTCTCACATTATATATCTATGTTGGAGGCTCCATTGAATAAGTTGTTGGTGTATTTTCTACTACATTTAACATAACAATGCAAAGCAATCTGTTCTCTCCCCATCCATGTACTGTGCTTATTTTATCATGCACATCTAGCAACATCTAGCAACAGGTTGTATGTAAGACTTCAGAAATAAATGAAGTTTCCTTACCTACAGTTTGCTACACATGACGTTCTTATCCACTGTACCAACATCCACCAGTAGCTTCTAAAAAGCAAATGGAAAACATGAAGCAGTTACGTATCTGAAAGCTACACAAATCTCTCTTCCCCTGAAGCAACAGAAAGAAAGCAAAGAGGAAAGCACGATGTAACCACTTCCTGTTAATGGGAGTTAAGCACCCCCACAGCAAGTCATACATGCAGTTTCATATATAGGAAGAAACTGAAGAGTATAACAGGCAAATGCTCTAGCATGAAAATTACTTAAAGTTACTTCAAGTAGACAAGCAGACTTTCAGAAGATCAGCAAAGCAGTTGAAGAGGAAATACGAGGAGGAATTAAACTAGCTGGAGTCTGAACCAACTTCCTTTTCCTCTGTTTTCTGTAGAAAATAAAAAGTCTTGCAGAAATTTACTTGGGCATGTTGGAGGCAGATGCTTGGTTCTGCTGCCTTTTGCCATCTAATTAGCTCTTGAATTACAGCTCTAACTACTGCATCTAGTTTACTTTGCGTATAACATTAGGTTTTTGGTGTTGCACTTCTGGCAAGCTTAATGTGCCGCTGTTAATGATCCTGCTTTGTCAACTTCCTGTTTGAAAATTACCTACATGAGAGACTTTGCCGAGGCCTCATACATCCTTGTTTGGAAGTCAGTTGCACTGAAATGAAAAGAGCTTACATGTTGGCATTTTTTGTATCAGCGTTCTACCAGACCGTCTAAAATACTGCTCTGTATTATGACTTTCTATAATTAGGGCATAAGGCACTATGAAGATGCAATTTCCACCTCCTTCTCTTATGCAATTTCCACTCATTCTGTAATGAACTATGTAGAATTTTCTACTGAGTCACACCCTGCAATGCAAATCTCAACTAAAGTATTCATGACAGATGACCACCCAACATCTGCTTAAAAACCTCCAATGAAGGAGAACCCACCACCTTCCAAAGTAGTCCATTCCGCTGGAGAACAGCTCTTATTGTCAGAAAGCTCTTATTGATGTTTAGTCAGAGTTTATTTGAGATTTGTTCACTGTTGACTTTTTAACAGATTGTGCTCAATTCTTTGACTTCCATTTTCAACCATAGGGTAGGGTTGTCCAGGGACATACCCGGGATCCTCTCTCTCTCTCTCTCTCTGTATATATATATATAAAGCTCAACAACTTTTGTGTCCAGATAGGCCTTAAATACACATACAGGTTGCTGGAGCACAGAAAAAAACCATAAGAGGCAAGTTCCATGATCTTTTATACATAAGTGTTGTTGTTTTAAAATAATTCTGCACTTTAAAAAAATCATATTCTAGGGCTGAAGCAAGTTTTATAAATTGAGCAGACTGGCATAATTTACATTAGGGTTGTATCTACCTAATCGTACTGCATTGAAAACAGTGGATTTAAGTTAGTGAAGCCCATTGATTTCATTGGGTCCAATTCAAGAATGCCTTGTTTGGCTGCAACCCTTTTTATTTTGGCTGTTTTGAAAGGATTTTATATTTAAAAGGATTCTAAATTTCATCTCGGGGCAGTCATGCATTTAAAGTTACTTAATTGCATTATATAATTTTGGAAAACTTTACAAACAAGGGCCTAGTACTTCTCACTAATGCTAGTAAACAACTGGACTGAGTATTGACCACATTGTGTTATTTGTATCGCTTACAAATGAAAGCACTTTATGAAAACAAAAGCTGAATATCCCCAAGAGGTATAGAAGGGCTATCCATGCTGGGCCTCCTATGCCTATGGCCCTAAAGAAGCACATTTAGCAAATGAGGCCTATATCCCTGAGGGGAGGTTCTTTAGTCCAGCTCCCATCAACCCCAGCAAACACAGTCAGTGCTCAAAAATGATGGGAACTGGGAAAGATGGCCTCCCCACCACAAGTTTAAATGACAAGGTCTGCAGCACTGAGAAAGAACAGTTTACAAAATGAGGCCTACAGACCTGAGGGCACTGTGTTTAGAAATTAAGGGTGGGAAGAGTGACCAAGGGAAGTTGGTGGGCCTTGTCTCTCTCTCCCCCCTCTCTCTGTCATACGTATAGAGAAGACTGGCTGGTCTTGAAACTCTGAAATAGACAAACCTCTAAATATAGACAAGTATAAGCTGCAGCTGCAACAGAACAATCCAGTGAGATTTATATAGCCAGAAAACAGAGATATGAGGAAAGTTGACAAGCCCACATTGAACCGAATTAACTAGCCAAATATATTGTAAACCTGTCACATACCCAGAGATGCAGAACATAAAAATAAAAATCTATGCAAAATTTCAGTTGGACCCATGAAGAAAAGCCCTGTATGATGTTAAGGGAAGGAGCAAGTGCTTTTAACACTCCTTTTCTAAAATGCCAGTATCATAGTGAAAGAAGTTGTGCAACACAGCTTCCCCTTGTCAATATAGCTAATAGTGTCTTGTATACTATAAAGAGCTGGTAGTTTTGCATGTTGCTCAAACTTGAGCCTTCCAGGCTTCCTACCTAAAAATATCTGAAATTTTGACCAAGTTCAGCACAACAAATTGGATGTTGAATTTACTTCAACACAACGAGAATGCCCCAGCCAGAAAACAAAACTTTCAGTTCTAGGCTAAATACCTCATGAAATTCACTATAATTGTCAGGGCCAGTCCAGGACATCTTGCTGCTTCAGGCAAAATTGAAAATGCTTCGCCCTGCAACTACTGCTGCCTCCTCTGTGCCGGCCCGACTCCTTTGTCACCTCCTGTGGCCACCACCTCCATTTGATAAGGTGGGTTATTTTGCACCAGATTCAATAAATTTCGGGGGAATAAGAGATGACATACAGGCAATGCAGATGAGAAGACTTGAGGGAGGGTTTGCCCTGAAGGCAACAGCAGTGAAGGAAGAAGAGAGAACAGATGAGTTCACCAAAGGACACTGGATTACAATAAATAACAAGTACATTTCAAACCTATCAGATAATATATCTGTCTCTCTCATAATAAACCGCAATACAGTAGCTCATGAAGAAAAATCAAATTGATAAATGGAGCCCCCTACCCATGTAACTAGAGCAAGGTGTGTTGTTTGCTGAAAGGAAAATATTTGCACCCAGAACAGGTCTATAGAAGAACAGTTTCTGTGATTAAACTTGTGATTAAAGTTTCACTCCATCCAAATTTCCTCTCTCTCTAGATTTGTTCACATTCAACTTTTATGATGCCACTGGTTTCAGCACCAAGCATAGCAGAGTCTACAGAACAGAGCTAGAGGCTTCAATACTCCCCATTACCAAAGCCCACTATCAGTATTTCAGTGGAGGTGTGCTGGAGGTGGTCAAATAATGTGTGAATTTCACCCCTTCCTCGATATAAGTAAGCTGTGAGCAACTGTGCATCCTTTCGTTTAGGGGTGGCTGTCATTAAGTGACAGTGTCACATAACTGATATTTGACAAGCTGGAAGCTGTGCCTGGTGCCATTGACAACAAACCCTCACTTATAATAGTCAGAGTGTATGTACAAAGCCAGCATCACAAACACATGCTGATGCATTATTTAAAGAATGCTTTTGACAGGGTTTAGGAACATGTCAGCTGCAAATGCAGAGCATTCTCATTTGTGATAATGTTAAGACCTTTAGGTGCTAAGAGCACCATGACAGAAGTACTGTGGTGTAAAAAAGAAAGAAAGAAAGAAAGGCGGGGGGGATAATATATTCAGTTCAGTTTAAACAATAAGCCTCTCATGAAAAATATGTCAAATTCTTTACTACTGTCAATATGTTGAAAAGACAGATCCATTGCTATATCAGTATGGGGGTTAGAGGGAAGTGAAACGTTAATTGTACGTACTTTTAAAAGACTCTGTACTTTATCAAAATGCAGTCTCTATAAAATTTGTATTTTTCAAAGCAAAATTCCTTTAACACTTTAACATTATTCCAGTCACCCATTATGTTCAAGTAAGGAGGTCATATTTCACCTGAGTTAAAAGCAGGAACAACTCCAGTGGCAGCTACTACTTTGAGGACCCCCATTTCCCAAAGATCTTAAGCTCCTTTGCTTGAGGTATGTGCCCATTCTGTTTGTTGCTTTAATTTCTTTCATGGACCTTTTCATTTTTGCCTACATAAACCTTTTAATAAGGTCTCTCAAAATCGTCCGTTGGGTCTTTTTTGTTTGTTTGTGCCACACTTAAAAGGGTATTTACCCCACCCCATATCTAGACCATTTGGCATCCTACTACATGTGTATATCAATGGGATTTGCCTAAGGAAACCAAGCTGTCCTGATCTCCTAGGCAGAGACAGGGGTGAGATGGATGTTCCCTTCATAATGCAGAAGGGCTAGTGGCAGCAAATGTTGGTTTTGAGAGATCACAGTTACTTCTCTTCTTGTGCATGGAGGAAGGAGAGCTCATTACCTCTCTGTACCAACACAGATGTAGATGGTTTTCAGGTTCCAATCCCAAGCTTTAGGACTTGTGGGAGAGGCCTTAATTGTGGTTCCATCTGCATCTGTTACATTATGTGGTGACCTAGGGTACTTATTCACTGTTTTGGTGTCTTTGTGGACTCCTTCCATCAGAAGTATGCTTGTCCCCATCAGTACTGATTTTTCATCCTCCGGTAAACATGTTTTTGTTCTATCAGGCATTTGGGAGAATTTGATGGGAACTGTTTTGCTTGCCATGATGATACCACTGGAAGTTACATGACTCTTGGTGGTAATGTATATGATGTTATTGTATTTATTATTTGCTGTACACCATATTGGGATCCCTTTGGGATAAAGGTGGTTTAGAAATTAAATAAATAAACAAAACATGGAGGATGCTATCATTGGCTACTAGCTATGGTGAAGATGCTAGAGGTGTGCCTCTGAATACCACTTGCTGGGCTGAAACAGTGAACAGAAACTGGTTCTTTGGGGCTTCCCAGAGGCATCTGGTTGGTCACTGTGGGAAACAGGATGCTGAGCTAGATAGGCCTTAAGTTTGATCTACTAGGGCTCTTCTTATATTAGGATATGGACCTGCCTGATAATAAAAAAATGACATTGTCATGGCACAGAGATGGAAAGAGGCCAGACCCAAAGCAGAAAGCAGAACGGGCTTCATAGTTTTCAAGGGAACCTTTTGCCCCTAGCCTAAACATAGCAGCCAAATTGGCATTGATCCAGCTAGTTACCCACACTTACGCTCTGTACATGGTTGAAGCCATTCATCCTTACAGCAGTTAGTCAATTTACTAATAAAAGAAGCAAGGTATTGACCCCAACGTCAAATATGTTTTTTTCCTCATTTACTAATAACATTTCATGATCTGACAAGTATTTTGGCTTGGGTTTCTACCCCGATTATTTTGCCTTTTGATTGATAGTAGCTTAATTTCCTATAATCTGATTTGCCTTTTAGTTTAGATTTGTGAAATTTGTCTTCATTTGTGAAAATTGCTTAATGCATCTCTTTAGTGCGTCTAATTAATTTAATTCATCACTGTGAAAAAGAAACTGACATAATAAGCTTAGAAATATCAAGAAATTTGAGATGAATCAAACACACCCCATTCTTGCGTCACATAGTATGCATGTGTTTTATAATGATGTTGAATGATACAATGCCGTTAAACTCAAAATTTTGTTTCATTTTGTGATATTTTCATTTTTTATGTGATTTGTGACATCCAAACTTTTTTGTTAAATGAATTTCCTTGATTCTATTTTGTTTGTAACAACCACAACAAATTCAGAAATAAAATGTCCATATGTGAGCCAAAATGCTTATTCGTCCTCTTCCTTATTTAGAATCTGCAATGTTCTAGCTACAAATAGCCATTATGTTTCTCAAATGCAAAATTCTGATCCTGCCAGGCAGATTGTTCTGTCAAAGGCTCTTTGCATGCATTTCTGGACCTGCTGTCTGGATATCTGTATTCACTATCAACAAAGAGTAGTGGGAAATGCTAGTTCAGTAATTACACATTCAGTGACATACACACAGCAGGTGTTGATGAGATGGGGTGCACATGTGTATCCAGACTTTAATGTCATGAAGTCTTCATTGTGACTGCACCATGTACATAGGATATGCCTTCTCTTTATCTTGTGATATACATGGGAATTCACACACATCCCTCCAGGGTTGTTTTCTTCATTTCTTATCTATGTGCAACTAGTGCTGTCCAAAACAGGAGAAATCAATGTATTTTGGTCTGAGGGCCACAATGGCCCACAGCCAACTCTTTAGGAGGCTGGAAAAGAGGTATGATCTAAGTGGAAAACTGACCATTCAGTTATAAAGCTAGCATCCACAAGAATTGCCCATAAGCCATTCTACTCTATTTTCATGCTTTAAAAAAATCATTCATTATTAAATTCAGTAATATATATATTTTAGGACAGGTTTTGTTTTTTCCTTCTTGCATTTTTGTCTTTTCCTAGTGTGGATAGATGGGTGACTATGCTACTAACTTTGTATGTATCAAACGGTTTTGTACCTATTTGTATTTCTAATCTTTTTCCAGTTAAAAAAGGGAAAAAAAGGTAAGAGATTTATATATGAAGGACCACCTGTACCCACTGTTGTAGTCTCGCTGCTGAGCAACAACTCGCAGAGCTCAGTGGAGTAGGAGGCCAGCCAACTGGAAGAATCTCTGAGATATACTTACCTGGAGGCAGAGTCAGCATACGAAGTCAGGTCCAGTCCTAGGGTTCAGCAAACAGCAATCCACATGGTCAGATAGTCCAGGGGTCAGGGAACCCAAGATCATGGGGTCAAGGGTTAAGATGAGCAGGAGGCAGCAAGGTAGAGCCAGGAACTACAAGTGTTGTTACCAGCATTTGACTGTTGCTGGAAGTTCTGCTTAAGACGGCCACAGCCAGCTGGTTCTCATCAGTCCCTTATCCTCTGTGTCCTTGAAGGCTCATCAGCTGCAGGTGGAGTCACTCCACTTTTCCCCCCTTCAGGCTGCTGTTCAGCAGGTGAAGATGACTCCTGGCCCATGACACCCATACACACTTGCTTTGGCCTTAATATCTGCCTCAGAGGTTGTGCTCGTAAGTCTGCCACACAGGTGGGCTATAGAGATGGGGCCTTTTCAGTGGTTATCCCCTATCTCTGGAACTCTCTCCTCAAAGAATGACTTTCTTAAGTGTAACATTTGCATTCCACCTCTTCTCCAAATTGCTCAAGGTGGCATGCATGGTTCTATCCCACTTAGTTTTATCCCCATAAATGTGGGGGAAATTAGGTTGAGAGTCAGTAGCTTTCCCATGATCGTCTAGTAAGTTTCAAGGTCAAGTGGGGATACGAACCAGGTCTTGGTCCAGTGGTCTAATCACTAAACCATATTTTCATGAATGGCCCCGTATCTGCGAGCTTTTATGATGTTTGATTATTGATGTTTTATGATGTTATGATTATTGATGTTTCATAAGAACTGCTGTCCTGGTCTGTTAAACTACAACAGTTTTAAGTAAATTTAAAGTAACTTGATTGTTTTATATTATATATTGTTTGTGAATCATCTTGGGTGGGATTTCGCCCTGAAAAGCAGTATATACACTTTATTTTGTACTATCACTTGTACATGCCACTTAAGAGCTGGAAAATACTATCTACACTTTGGATGGTATTTATACTATTCTCTATCATGGAAACTATTATAAATAGGAATTACTTGAATTCTTTTAATTGCTCATCACAGTTTGTGTACCAGGGTTGGCTGAATGTCCCAGAGCATGCGCAGAACACATTTCTTTTTGTTTCTAAGAAAACAAC